TACCTACTAACTACACTTCCCTGTTTTACCTGGGAGATTTATCCCCGGTAGAGGTTATTACGTGTAGTATTATTTTGTTAGAAAATAATGTAGATTAATTTTCAGATGGGATAGTGAAGTTTCTTCTTTGGAAGAGTGCGTATTAGACTTTAAAAGAGTGGAGTCATGAAATATTATGAGTCATTATATTATGGGTTTTAAAGGCAGATTGTAGTAAGCTGTAGTATGTTTAAACCTATATCATGTAAAGTTATTCAGTAACAAAATATTTACGTTAAAGTTTAATAATATTAAAGTAAAATCGCAATGTGCATTGTTTTGTTCAAATATACGACTTAAAACTTATAAATATATCAAAGAAAGAATATATTTCTTGAATTCATTCTTTTAGCTACTATATTTTGAAAAAACTAGAATTTTGAACTTACGTGTGTTGTGGATTTCACCGTGATTTGTTAGCTATTTTACCAACTTTCAGAATAATGTCACATAAGTACTACACACTGCAGTTTAATACATAGTCGATTTGTTACCAGAAGCTAGTTTTCGCAATTTACATCTGCGAAAAATTGAAATCATTCTTTTATAATATAAAGTTGAATAAATACACAAATATATTAGTAATTAATACTTAAATAAATTGAATTTATATATAAACGAATATAATATTCATTTGAATAACTATAATAATTATTTATATTCAAATGTTCTTGTATATTTATGTAAAAAAATGTACTTATTTTAAATTTATTAGCATCTGAATCGGCAAATATTTGCGACAACAAATCCGGTCCTTAATTTTAAATAATTGTTTGTTTAGTATTAGTTAAAATCCACCATATTAATCAAAATATCCGCACGCACTTTCAAAATGTCCTTGAATTTTGGGTAGTGAATTGTACAAAGTTAAGGAGAGAGAATTTGTAGAATAGTTTTTGTTATAGCTTTTATCTTTCCGTGTATGAAGGAAACAAATGAATTTGAGTTTTCTGTCAGAAGTGTTTTTTATTGAAAAATGTCTGAGTTGCTTGGTTTTCACGCGTGTCCCCCTCCTTTTACAGAGGCTTTTAAGTTTCACAATATTTCATAATCTGCTGACTTTTTTATCCACAGGAAAAGACGTGGTAATTCACCTCGTGGCTTTATCTCATTCTAATTTACATAATATTTTGATCAAAATATCCATCATATAATGATTATGAACATATCAATGATTTCCAGCTCTCTAATACAAAAGAACGTATTAAAAACTAACCAAAACATCATCGGTAGGCTTCTGAGACCTGCTTTGGGTAATATCTGGGTTACGTCACTACAAACGCTCTGCTTAGAACGAGCAGGTTGTAAGACGAACTTCGTGGCAACCTGGGAGGGACCTGGCCAGCCGACGAGGTGTGTCCCCGAGCGACCGACCGGACAATGAACTACCAACTTCCGGTGAGCGATGGCCAATGCTCCTCTGTTCCCTCTTCAACAGGATGTCTTAGAATAAATGTGACTGTTTACTTCTAGGACATTAAGAGGAGTCGAAAATTATCAACAGTTGCCAATTGTATGACTAGTATAAAAAGTCACATAATGATGTCACATGTCCGGTATTTTATTCTGATTATTACGCAATCTCATATGAAAAAATGTTCGCAGGTACATGAAAGTTCCTTCGCAGCGTCACACGTGAGCTGCTTATCACATATGCTTTAGGCGTTGTCTAAAAATATAGAAGGACTTGTCATACGTCTGCGGTTAACATGATATTTTTCACGTAATCATTGAGGGAAATGATCATTTTAAGTACCTGTAATGCCCTAGACGCCGGTAACATTTATTCAGAGATATCTTGTACATTCCAGAAATGTGGAAGAAGGTGCAGCGCCTCCTCAAGACGACGTCAGCGCGGCGAAGATCCCTCGAGAGGGCCACTCACACAGCGCTGGGGGTGGGGAGGGGGGAGGG